TCTTTTTTTTTTTTTTTTTTTTTTTTTTTGTAGAGCCTTTTCCCTTTCGGTTTTGACAGTTACAGAGATCTTTTCGGATTTGATTGTTAAGTAGTACTTAGTTTTAATTAAACAAATACTTTTATAATTTATTTATTAAAACATTTAACGAGAAAAAGAAACGAAAATCAACTGTTGGGAATTCAATTGGTTAGTAGCACTTTTATTTCTTAGAAGTAGAAAAGTTGGGTTCTCTTGTATTGTATTAGGGTTGGAATTAACCTAAATAGTCGTCCACCCAATCAGTGGCGGAGCCGGAATTTTAGTTAAAAAGTGTCAAATTATATAAAAGTAAACAAATTAGGAAATTAAGGGGAGTCAATACATAATATATATACATATAATTTATTTTTTTACCTACCTACACAGTGTATTTTCTCGTGAAGGGGTGTCAAAATTACACCCCTTCCTATAAGGTGGCTCCGCCACTGCACCCAACTACTTAAGCTAAAAATAGCCGATTGAGGTATAATATATGCATAATTTATGTATTATATATGTATAATTATGTATAGTCAATGTACAATCATGTATAAAACTAGAACAAGTAAACAATGAATATCGTCAGCTATGTGTAAAGATCCCTTATAAAAATGAAAGGTAGGCCCATATAGCTGATAACCAAGGTGTATTATGCGACTGAGAATCGAAACTAAAAGGGAAATTTTCGTTCCTATACCATATAAGAAACTATATTAAGAAAAATGTCCATAATTTGCAAATTACCTGCCCTGCTAACAGATTTTCTACAAAATACAAACAACTCATTAAAAACAGAATCTTGTTAGCTGTACAATTCCTTTAATAGGCGCACGAATGTAGGGATATTAAGGATTCTTCCAGATTTTATCAAACGCAAATCTCGCTATTAAATTTCGCTCGTTTCTCTCCAAAAGTCACTACTCTGTTTTTATGACAATACTCTGTTTCACTGATTTTTCTGATTTCACAAATCAAAAGCGACCAACTTAGCTACAATTCTTCTGTAACAACCGCAACTATGTCGAAAATCCCAATTATGCTTCAACTGAATGGGAATTGGGATAGCTATGGGAGATATAGAGACTTTCAGGTCGATGGAATTGTAGTCGGCGAGGATGCGAGTTATAGCCTATTGAATTCTACAATAGTAGAGCATCTAATAATAGATACATTCGAGAAAATAATAGAAATCAAATACATTGTCAACGAACATTGCCCTCCAATGAAAATTAAGAATGATATGGGTGTTCGTGTATACATGGAGACGAAAAAGAATCACAAAAGCTTAGAAACATATCTGCTATGTATAACAGTACGTGATTTCAATTTGGAATTGCGTATCACCAATTCTAACACAGTTGCAGGTTTGTTCTGTTACATTACTATCGAATTTTGGTTGTATATTACTTATCTACAATATTTCTACAAAAAACTACATGTCAAAGTCTATATATATA